TTTTGGCTGCAGTGTGTTTTTTGCATGCAGGTATAACAGAATAGCTTTAGTGTTGTTGTTTATTTAAACTGGAGTATGAACTTATACAAAATGCAGCAAGATATTAAAAAACTGTTTTACTGATTAAAAAATACACGATATCGGATTCATATCGGTATTGGACATAAAGTGGAATCGTGCCATCTCTAGTCAGTACAACAAAACACAGCAGGGGGAGGAGCTAGACACAAAGAAGGGCACTAACTAGGGGAGCAAAGAGGGTGGAGCCATAACCAAACAGGAGTCATGTGAGTGTAAAAGCAGCTGTTGTTGACGTGCTAGCTGCTGCACTGACTGCAACTGGAAACCAGTGACAGGGAGCTGGAAGGTACAGGAGGAGGAACAGTATTCCCAGCGAGAGGAGGAGGAGGGTGTAATTACCGTGGCGAGGAACCCACGGTAATTACACCAAACATCTGATTGTTGGGTCAACCTTACAATCTGAAGCGCCCTGAGGGGACTGTTGTTGTGATTTGTATAAATAAAACTGAATTGAAGACCCCGTGAGCTAACAGCTAAAGTAGCATGACCCACCCCCCCCAACGCGGTACGTTAGCAGTGCGTTACTTTGTTTCTTCTTTGGATACATTTTTCTCTAAAAAGAAAGGTGAGAAAAACTTCCCGTTTGGCGGCGGATATCAGAGCCGAACCTCGTAACGTTTCTGGTCTTCTGCCGCCTTCTTGATCCACAGAATCTTCTCCTTCTTCTCCATCGAGTTCCACGCCATGTCCATCGCTGCCTGGGCCTTCCTGCGGTCACTCTGTGGGTTGTGTCACATGACACTCAGTGACGGTAGAGTTTTTACCTGCCATTTACTGCACGCGCTCCTTACTCTGTATTTAGCCAGGTAGTCGCCAATCACGCTATGCTGCCACATCTCCGCCGCCGTCTTTGGCGTCTCTGGAAGCTTTGCTGCTGCCGTCTTTTTCCCGTCCCGTCTTTCTTTTGGCGTTCCAGCAGGGACCCACGGCTCAGACTCCGCCTCCCGACACCGCTCCTATTTAAAGAACACAAATGTGTTCAGACAGTTTCGGGTGATGTTGCAGATGGCGCCGGCTCGGCAGGTTGGTTACATCACCGTTCAGACTGAGCGCCCAATAAACAGGCGCCAGGCGCACCTTGACTGATGGAGACTTGGCTCTGTGGGGGCTCGAGGCCACGCCTGCACCCAATTTGGCCCCACCCATTTTCTCCTCAGTCATGACTCTGTCACGCTCCTCCTCTGGAAGACTCTGAGAGAGAAGCAGAGGTTACTTCCTGTTTCCTGTAGTTCAAGCAGCAGCTCTGGAGCCTCAGTGGACAGGATCAAACATGACAGCCAATCACAACGTGCCTTATTACTGTACGATCTACTGTACACAGCGCCTCGAGGCGACTGCTGGATGAATGAAAGTGAATTGAGGACCATCTGTAGTAAGAAACTGGTCGTTTCTAGCTAGCTAGTTAGCCAATCAGCCTGCGCTTTCACAGTTAGACCCCGCCCCATCCCGTTAATTCCAACCATGAAGGTGTAAATACAGCCCCGCCCATCTCTGTCCCGTCGGTGGGCGTTTCCTCTCGCTCTTCAAGGCGCTCTGAGGTCTTACCTCCAGGAAGCGCTGCAGGTCGATGTCATACTGCTTCTTTTTCTGTGGAGACAAAGCTGAGGTTAGAGAGAGGTCAGAGGTCGGAGGTCAGAGCGGTGCCGTCACTCACCTGCTCGCAGCGTTTCTGGAACATGTCCTTCTCCTTCTGCGTCATCATCTTCCACTGTTTGCTGCACAGCACCATGCGCTCCGTGCTCGGCACGTCCTTCATGTTCACCATGAGCTCG